AACCTCACAAGTTTTCTTTTTCGAAACAGATTTTCGCGAAATATGACCACCACAAAAAGTTCGAATTTTCGCATTGCTAAACGTCCTTATTAATAGCAATCAAGGTAGGGTAGCAAGATACAATGACAGCACTGGAATATCGAGGTGTGATTTCTCACAAAAGCGCGCAGAAAAGAAGGGTATACAAGTACGAACTACGCGTGACAAGTGTGTATCAGCAACAATAAAAAAAAGTGAGAACGAATGATAATAATAAAAATAACAAACAAGAAGGTGACAAACCACATTTAGGCACAAGTGGCAACAACGTTGCCACACTACACAAACGAACATTATTTGAACAATTTTAGGGTAATAACACTATCTTTCTGGACACACAAATTCGGCTTATGAATGCGCTGACAAACAGCTTCCAAAACTTGTAACTGCAACAGATAACCATGCCGAGCACGGCACAAAACAGAAAAACAGGAATCAGAATAAGTACGGCAACAGTCAGTACTAGAGACCAAAATGATTGTATACTGAAGACTTGTTATTACGAGACGTACGCACACGGTAAACGTACAAAGGAAACAATCGGAGAGGACGACGACTGCGAGAGGACGACGACTAACATGAAGGCAACGGCATTTGCGGTTGGCGTTGATGGTGAAGGTGAGACGCAGGACGATACAAGTGAGGAGGAGATTTAAACCGGTGTGGATGATGGAGCAGGTTCTGGTTTGAGCAGTGAGGGAGAAGGTGAGCTGAGTGAGTGTGAGGTTGTGCGCATGAGTCGAGATCGTGTGCGTACGTCTCGTAATAACAAGTCTTCAGTATACAATCATTTGGTCTCTAGTACTGACTGTTGCCTCACTTATTCTGATTCCTGTTTTTCTGTTTTGTGCCGTGCTCGGCATGGTTATCTGTTGCAGTTACAAGTTTTGGAAGCTGTTTGTCAGCGCATTCATGAGCCGAGTTTGTGTGTCCAGAAAGATAGTGTTATTACCCTAAAATTGTTCAAAAAATGTTCTTTTGTGTAGTGTGACAACGTTGTTGCCACTTGTGCCTAAATGTGGTTTGTCACCTTCTTGTTTGTTATTTTTATTATTATCATTCGTTCTCACTTTTTTTGTTGGTGATACACACTTGTCACGCGTAGTTCTTACTTGTATACCCTTGTTTTCTGCACGCTTTTGTGAGAAATCACACCTCGATAATCCAGTGCTGTCATTGTATCTTGCTACCCTATAGGCCTTGACAGATTATGCTAATATTTTCGTGAAATTATGCTTTTCGCATTGCTGACAAAATTGCAGAATTATGCTATTTTTATGCTAAAAGTTATCATATTGTGCCGCATTATGCTCACATATGCTGCTAATGTATAATGGTTCTGTGCAAAATAACAGGGGAATTTTTTGTAGAGGGCGTTGTACTGTAGTAGCAAAAGTTCAACGGGCTCAACGCACCGTCCGACCTAGTATAGCTACGACCGTCGCGTCACTGATTGTAGTGGACTGGACATGTTATCAAGGGAGTCGTAAACCTACAACTTTCTGGTGCATCTACTTATACTTATACTTGTAGAACATGTACAACTGTATGGAATTTGATGCGAACAGGCGGATTATTCCAATTTTATGCGATTCGTATGCAATTTGCCTCGAATTATGCGATTATTCGATTTTGGTAGGAATTATGCGAAAATTATGCTAGCATAATCTGTCAAGGCCTACTACCCTACCTTGATTGCTGTATTATTTCCTTTGTTCTCATTTTGTTCTTTAGTACAACGGTGATTCCTGAAGAGTGTTGTACGAAAACTTGTTCGAATCATCTTTCTTTCCATCGCTTTTTCTTCATACATGTATCTTCCTTACCCTTTACATTGTTTTTTTGCATCGTTTCCATCGCTTACATTGTTAATAAAGTAATCCAAATGTCACTTCAGCTCGTCCTACTTATTGCCACATTAAAATTATTGTCTCCTCGTCGAATATTTAAATAATAATTATTATCAAAATTAACTTTTTATGACCTACCGTATTTTCCCCATAAAACGTACACGTCTCCATTACTAGTACGTCCCCAATTGTAGTACTTGTTGGGTGTGGATCGAAAATATAAAAGGACACGTCTCTAATAATAGTACATGCCGGAATGATGTGATGGGCATTAGTGGGGTACAGATACCAGGGTCCACCTTACTTCGTTTTTCTTACCCGTTCATCATCTTTGTGTCTTTGTACACTGATTCTTACTATGGTTGGGTGTATTTACAGCCTTACAGCATCATTATCACGAGTTGTTTGCCACCAAACCCAGGCAATCAATCTTTCCAGAAACAATAAAAATACACGTCTCCAATACTAGTACAGTCTCCTATAGTAGTACAGGTCTGACCAGCTTGAAAAAATAAAAGTACTGTTCATTTATTGGGGAAAATACGGTACTGTGTCCTCTACACTAGGCATATGCGGATAATGCCGACAGAAAAATTAGCAGAACTCGGTACTTTTTCTGGTAATATTCATGCATGTTTGGTATGTGTGTCGCAATTTGCCCTATAATTATTCGAATTCGTTGCTCCTTGTAGCAAAATATGCTACATTTGGTACAATACTAGTATGCGAGATTTGCTACTTTATGCGACCTTATGTCAAAAGGACCAAAATATGGGAAAATATGCGCAAGCATATTCGGGCCCTCCCTAGCTCAGAGCGTTCTCCACAAGCAAATACAATGCCCGTGTTCTATTTACTAGTGCGTTGTACAAGTACAATGTAAATGTATGCATTTTGAAAGCTTCCGATTACATGTACCTGTGGATCTACAATAATTATTGTACATTCGCCGGTACCCGTAAGGGTGCTGTGCAGACATTGTTATGATGAAAGTTGGCCAAGGCGGAAAAGAGTGCGCTTCGTGCGAGACACGAATTCCGGGTAGACAGCCCGGTGACTGCACGGCAAGCTCGCGCCCGTAGACTGCATGTCGGTACACTCCACTAGACTAGCAGAATGTGCATGGTATGGTGAGCATTCAGCTTTGTCTCTACTGGAACGGGCGGGTGCGGTGGTAGTCTGCACAGTTGGTGATTTTCGGTAAAGGGGGTCATGTTGCAACCCTGCCGCAAGCCGTTCTCAACACGAATCGGCGCAGGCCCACACCATGCACACGGATACTGGCAGTCATGGTAGACTTTTCTTTTGACCATACGAGACCAGATGACGTTTGCAGACACCAGCACGAACACTGCACCAGTCACACTCCATAGCAGCTAGTAGTTGCTCCAGAAAAGCCTTGTGTCGTTCCATTATGATATTTGACGGACCTTATGAAGATGGCATCAACAAATTACTGCATGGCAGTCATGTCGCTATGGAAGGACCTGATGATGCTTGACGTCGCGGAGAATCTAATGTACATGTACACTGTACGTGTACGCACACATACATGACAATACAATGTACGCCTATGCGACAGTGAGCAATAAATATTGCTCTTGAGGAGCCTATGCCTAGCAGCAGATAATAGCAGCATTTTTTCCCCATTTACATATTCAAATGCTATCCCCGACTCAAAACGGAAACATTATCAGTGAAATCGGCACATACATGTAACTGTGATGTTGCTATGTAGTTGCTATGGTAACCGATAATAAAGACACGCCTTTTCAATACCTTGCAGGCTTGCGTCCTGATATGATAATATCAAATTAACTTTTATGACGTACTATGTGTCCTCTACACCGAACACGGCTGATTTGAGTTTATGATTATCTATCCCGCTTTGACATCAATATCTCTTCTAGCGCACGCCGACCAAACAAACTGATTTTCAATTCTCATGGCCGCATCTCTTCCTCTCTCTTTCTGCATAAGATCGGAAAGCTGTGGAACTGCCTTCCACCAAGGCTGACATCCCAAGATTCACTTTCTAAATTTCAGCAGCAATATCGCTTGCACGTGAAAAGTTTTAAATTTGACTGTAGTGGTATATCCCTGGACATTAATTTTGAATTAATTGTTTTATTTTTAACAACCCAGCCCTGTGTTTATTGCTAATTTATGTAGCATATACTGTAACACGTGTAGTTTTCCTCACTGTTTATTTCTATTGCATGATTTGCATCAGGAGATCCCCTCGACAGGCCATCGCCTCTGGGAGATCCCCTCGACAGGCCATCGCCTCTGGGAGATCCTTTAATAAAGATTATTGTTATAGTACAATGTTGTGCGGAAGAGGTGGAAGCAACGCTGGACCTTTCGGTCATGTGGCAGTTCAGTAAACCTCGCGTAGTATCACAGATAGTATCACAGGTACATCGTATTCTCTCTCTCTCTCTCTCTCTCTCTCTCTCTCTCTCTCTCTCTCTCTCTCTCTCTCTCTCTCTCTTCTCTCTCTCTCTCTCTCTCTCTCTCTCTCTCTCTCTCTCTCTCTCTCTCTCTCTCTCTCTCTCTCTCTCCCCCCCCCCTCCCCGTTTACTCGCAGGTATTAGTACAGTATCCTATTCTCTAACTATGTTCTTCCATAGCTACTTCTAGGCTAAGCCTTCGCCGTCATTTTATTGGGTCGTCATCCCGTTTGAATGTGCGAAGTGAAATAAAAACCAACCAACCAACCAAATACAATGCCCGTGTTCTATTTTACTAGTGCATTGTACATGTAAAACGAATGCATTTTAACAGTTTCAATGGTATCTCAATTTTTCACGTCTATAATTATGACTTCTTTTGCCCGTAAAAGAGGCCGTTACCCCGAAAAAAAAAATTTAAACAGTTTCCGATTACATTATATTATAGATCTACAATAATTGTACATTCGCCGGTACCGGTAAGGGTGCTGTGCAGACATTGTTATGATGAAACTTGGCCAAGGCGGAAAAGAGTGCGCTTCGTGCGAGACACGAATTCCGGGTAGACAGCACGGCAAGCTCGCGCCCGTAGACTGCATGTCGGTACGCTCCACTAGACTAGCGCAATGTGCATGGTATGGCGAGCATTCGGCTTTATCTCTACTGCAGTACTGGAACGGGCGGGTGTGGTGGTAGTCTGCTGAAAGTTGTTCAGCTCATGGCCAAGACGGCGCTCGGCTTGGTTTCGTTTGCAGTGGCCGAAGTCCTTTTCTATCTCAGAGTCCTATTGAAAAGTCTTGGCACCAGTGCGAAGGCCAGTCCTAGACCAGTGCGATCATGTTTGAGCGGCTCAGGTATTTTTTCACTGGACAGAAAACGTTCAAGGTAGATGAGTTGTCGAGATTTCCTTAGTGGAGCAAGTCCAACATGGCTTGGTGTCTAGCCAAATCGACATCGTTTTCTGCACTTATGTTCTCGCCTTTGTTCGAATTTCTATTTTCCAGGAGAAAAAGATTACCAGTGAGTTTCATTCCGACAAGTTTGGAGCGGCTGTTGGAGATGAGATCAGGGCGGAGCGAGCCGAAGAAGATCAGGAGCACAAAGAACGGGTAAGATAAACTACAGCCAGGGATTGAACTACAACTTTCTATAGGATCACAGAGCCACCCGGGGACGGTGTGTCGCTTTCAACATCCTCCGTGCAGTGTGTGCAAGTAGACCTGGGAGGGTATTGCTTGACACATTGGTAGATTCTACTCGAAAAGCATAGAAATTGGCGGAATCATACAAAGTTTATGGCAGCAGTTCCTCGAATTATGCTCCTGTCTTGTACACTCTTTTGATAATTACATGTATCCATCTACTGTTGGCGAATCTCTCTAAGACTTTTATAGCTCCATAGGAACCGTTTCATCTTTTTACTTCATCTCCAGACCCGGCGTAACACACGAACAGTCCTGGTCTACATCACGTACAGCGACTGTATCGATTGTTCTTTTGGAGAATCAATAACATTATCGTGATATGAATGGATGAATCTACGAACTCGTACATGTTTATAGACAAGCTGCACGGAGCAATACACCGAACAGACGCGAAGTACAAGATAAGGGACCAACTGATGACATTTTTCTGCCACCACTAAAGGTTAACGTGCCCCACTAAGGCAATAACTATGGATGAATCTTGAAAAGGCAGCAAGGGCTGCATGCGTTCAATAGTGACACTTTGACATTTATTCACAGGGTTTATGCGCATTCAAAAGTCAATGAAGAAGAGAGGGAGAGGGAGGGAGAGACACAGATAGATAGGTAGAGAGAGAAAGAAAGAGAGCGAGAGGGAAGGTGAAGGCAGTTACATCATCCATAGATTCTTTCTTTTCGGGCTTCGGCCCACTTCGAATGCAATGCGGAGGAGAGAGGAGAGAGGAACGCAATAATGCCATGTTACTTGTAGAGAAATACAAGTCTCTCTTTTTCTCCTTATTTTCTCCCCAACCCTCCTTCCCTGTAACATAATAACATATTCGCTGCCTTGTCATTGAGCATTTGTGCTCGTTTGGATTTGCGAATTCAAATAAAGTATACAAACAAACAAACAAGTACTGGTAGTGCCTGTTTTGGTATCACAGAATCCCCAGCCCCTGGACGGTGGTGCTAGGTTAGACTGTACAGAAAAACCTGGTTTAAGCAACCACCTCACGATGCAAGCAAAAGCGGTCATTAAAGCCAGGTGGTCTTTAGAACGAGGTCCCACAGTGTCTGTGGAGAACTATCAGTGCATGGAAAAATGGTCGTTAAGAGCAGGTGGTCGCTAAACACAGAGGTCGCCTACACCAGGCTTTACTGTACATCAATGTCCCTCCCCGAACCTTCTGTAGAGCGAGAGATACACACGTTTATTGTGTATGCAAACAATTTACGTTGGCGTGAAATTTAATCAGACCAGACCTTCTGCACCCGTAGAAACGCTAGATCAAAACGCAGATGCAGCTCCTACGCGGATCTACAATAATTTTTTTGAAAGCACTTGCTTGAGTACTGGCTGTGTGCCTGGCCTGTCTGACCATGTACACTGATAAGAGGGTGTTCTTTTCTGTCTGCTGTGCTGGCTAGGTTTTGAAGTGTATGAAACCCATGAAGCAGTATGACTTGCGTACCAGTGATGGCCGTATCACCAGAAACACATTCCCGGGGCTGATGACCATGAGCGACTATGGACCACTGCGCCTGGCCTTCGTGGGCAGAGCCCACATGGGAAAGAGCCACACAGCCAACAATGTCCTTGAGCTGTTCGGCCAAGAACAAACTGAACAGGTACGGCGTATAGGGGTGAAGGTAACTCCACGAGTTGTCACGCAAGTCCTTCCACCGTGTAGGGTTTGTGGTGGTGTGATCGAGCCGCTATTTTGAAAAAGGCACGTCACAAAGTTCACCTCGATCATGTTGAATTCGTTGTCACCTTGGATGTTAGTGTGTTTTTCACTGAACAAATTGAATTTTCAGTAACGGATTGTGTATACTACGTGAGCCTGGCTTCACACAGATAACTTTGTTACAGGCATTGACTTGGGTTTTTTTACAAATATTTGTTACTAGCAAACACAGCCTTCTTAATAATGAGGGGAAAGGACAATTGAGGTGACACTGGACAACAACACAAAGGGGAGTAGAGGCGATGTGCCGATGAGGTTGACGAGGCTCATCCGACCACAGGTCTCACAATCATAACCTATGTCCAGGCATCGATAAGAATGCAGCTAGGTAGGGAGGGAGATCAAGTGAGAAAGAAGAGAGAGAGAGAGAGAGAGAGCCACAAGAAAGAAAAAGAGAAATAGAATGAAAAGAAGAGAGAGAGAGATTATGGACGAGGGTAGTTGCTCATTGACGGGTGACATAACTTCACATGGAGTACGCTGCCCAGAGCCAATTAGTTTGATGCAAGTCGCGGTGGACCTTCGTAGAGGCCTCCCAGCAATTTAATGGAGTTCGGAGCACTGCAATGGACTGTAATGTAGTCCGACATGAAAGTGCATGGTTTGTTTTCACACTGCTTGTAATTTCAGTACAACACATATCACCAATCTGGGCCGACATCCAAAACATAGCCTAGGCACCACATCCCCAACACCACTAATATCCATTTCAACAGTCCCCTTTCGATCCCGGGACTTTCGCAGAACCTCCCGGGACCCCGGGACAAACAAGCCATTCCCGGAACTGTCCCGGGCAACCCGAGACGGTTGGCATGTATGAACACATCAGCAACCTTTCCCTGTTATGTATCTTTATTATTACCAAGTACAGAAGAATCAAGAACAATCAAGGGTTTTTGCTGGCAAACAAGCCTTGATTGTTCTTGTTCTGTATTACACTCTGCCTCCGCGGTGTTGAGCACTGTCAGCACACTGGGTACATCCTCCAGTGTATTATTTCCAAGTATTCAGGGGTAGCGGTATTGGTTTTGTGTGTGGGCTATGCAGCATCCCGGGTCACTAAAGACCATGGGGAGTACTGGTGCTGTATGCGAGGAAATAAGGGAAAGAGAAAAAGGGAGAATTTAAAAAAACACTTTGAACAACAAAATTGATACCATCTTTATACAACTAGCCTGATAGAAAGAAACTCAACACCAGCAAGTACAGAAAGACGATTGGAATAAGTCAGAAAACTTTGTTTTATTATGACACCGGTACTGGCGTGGTAAACAGTAAATCGTATGTTTCCTGATGATTGCACTGAACATGAAATTCGGTGTTTCAACAAATAAGGCTGGTTCAATGTCGTATTGTGAGTGACGTGCACTATTGTTTTTCGCCTTTGCCAGATATTCAAAGTAGGTGAAGGAGATATGAAAGTACGCGACGCTCCAATCGATTCCGGTGATGGTAGGCCCGCAATCATGCTTCGAAACGGACGCGGAAGTGGCGAGAAATTCGGACGAGACTGCGAGATCAAAGTGGTGAAGGCTTTTTTGACCAATCAGCTTCATTCAGGTGATGAGTGCTATGCGGAGAGGATTCGGGAAGATGATCAGAGTCCAATGGCAGATCAGTGCCACGGGGCGATGTTTGTGATCAAGCTCCAGAGCATCGCAGCACCTCCAAAGCCTGGGTACAAGACTGAAGCAGAATTCTGGCAAGGCTTCCAGCCAACTCTGCAGGCATTGGGTAAGAAATGCGTGATCCCATCATCTTTGCCAACATTTCACTATCCGGGTTTTGCGTGTCATGCGTGCTACTTGAAACCTTGTGCAAATATCCTGTAGCCTCTTTTTAATATGGGCAAATAAACAATTGAAATAGACCAAAGACCATAGGCACAAGCAATGACAGAACCATTACGAAAAACAAAACCCCAACATTTTGGGTAAATAGTAGAGACTACAATGTAGCATGGAGACGAAACGCCTGCCAAGAGGCTGGAGACACACATCTATACATGTGTATGTGTTTAGGTGTCCTGCAAGGAAACACGTGCCTTGGCTATTTCCACAGACGCGGGGTCCCTGGTGACACCGTGTGCGGATGAGGACGCAAATAACCATGATCAGGGAGGCGTAAAAATACTATTAGCACTCGTAGTTTACGACCCCCCCCCCCCCCCGGCCAGGAGTTTATCCCGTCCTCCCGACTCCTACATTGTATATCTACAAAAAAAAGAGCTTTTATTAACCATTCGACATTTTTGTTAAACTTTGCCCCATTCATAGTGAGTAGAATGATTGTGAAGCCTAAGAAATAACCCCGGCACCCGGGCCCTGTACCCCATTCTGCAAGCTACATGTACATATATATCTGGTTTAGATACCCAATCTACAATCTGGGCTGGATACAACCTCAAGCAGCAAGGCGCCCAGTCTTATCCACCTCACTTCTCCAGAGATCATTTCATCATACTAAGTCCGGTGAAGCTGGCTTTCTTCTTTCCTGGCCTCTGGGCTTCCCCAAACTCAACATCAAGAATCGTTCATGGATAGGTTTTTTCTTTTTTTTCTTTTTGGTGTACTCGAAGTATTGTATTGCAACCGCATCTGCTGTATTCTTTCTTCCTGCTCTTCAGATATTGTTCCCGCAACATTCGTCACGGCGATGCAAGAGGAAAAATATGCCGTGTTGGGAACCCTGTTCAGCGAATGGAGGAATGTAGGCCTCGCTCGTGAATTGGTAGGATCGCCCACTAGCAGCGTGTTTCCCATTGAGAACCGGGTACCGGTGAATGACAATCAAGCACGGATGGATGGAATGCGTCAGGAGCTTGTGCTGGGACTGCTGGAAGTCATGCATCAGGCTGAGCAGAGGGTATACCGGCACGAGTTGAGGGCTCTTCAGGAAACACAGCCAGCAGAGTTCATAGGAATTCCACGTAAGTTACGTTGCCTGGGCCATCGTCAAGACTGTCAATCCTGATGGTGGCCCAGGGCCGGAATATTGATGGATTTTTTTTAATTGCAGTTCAGAGACCGTATATGTGTGTGTTTTGAGGGATTTTTTTATCTAATCTTGTTTTTAAATCTTTTCTCCCTTTCCATCGTCATCATAACATTGGGCATGATTGCCCGTTTGACTTGCGATGCAAAATAAAAACAAGTACGAAAACTAATACACCAAAAACAATATAATTATACAAAAGAGAATGGACCAAGGAACTACAAGTTACGAGTTACGAGTCCATACCAAAACAATATCCAAGAAAAAAAGCAGCAGCAGAATGACATGTTGTTGTTGGTTTGACAGCATGAAACAAGGTGGAGGACACTGTGTTCGGAAATAGTGACATATACAAGCACCCCCCCCCCCCCCACCTCATCCAAATAAGCGTCGATTTTTAAGATCCTGTTCTCTTTGTGCTATTTCTGCGCACATTGCAGCCAAATATGTAGTGGCGTGCTTCATCCGCGATGCTGCCCAGAAGTACGCCTGGCCATCGCACCGCCTACTTCAGTTTGAGAACGCAGTGCGCGACCAGTGGCTCGCCACTTGGACTGCCGACGATGAGGACTACGTGACCCCCGAGCGGTTCGTGAAAATGATGGAGACCCGCTCCGTCTGCCAGCAGGTATTCCGATCATCCTACCAAAGAACGCAGATTATGCTGGAACTGGACGCTTTCCGGAGATGCTGGCAAGTATAGTCAACTCAAGACGAGAATTTAATTCGAGTTCATTACATAGTTATGTAGCTTCATTTGTGATGTAGTAGAATTGTTTAGACCTTAGCACTAATAGTGTGTCTAGCTGTCCTTCATTTACCTGTGCTAGAGATCATGAATAGTGTGTGTGTGTGTGTGTGTGTGTGTGTGTGTGTGTGTGTGTGTGTGTGTGTGTGTGTGTGTGTGTGTGTGTGTGTGTGTGTGTGTGTGTGTGTGTGTGTGTGTGTGTGTGTGTGTGTGTGTGTGTGCAGTTCTTCAAAGCCCCGTTTTTTGTATTTCACTATTTTCAACGCAGCCTTCCTCACACTGGTCATTTCATAAGTATTTGCCGTTGATGCTTTTCTTTCTTCTGCTGGCAGTACTGCGTGCATCTCGTGATAATATCACATTGTGCATGCACTTGGAATGCACATGCTCCGAATACACATACTTCAGTGTAAAAGTCTACATAACCCTGAACGTTCTTGCTTAGAGTCGTACTCGACTAGCCCTTCTCTTTGCACATCGAGTATCCTATACTAGGCATGTTTGAAGCGTTGAAACAGGCTCTTTAGCTCACTGCAGAGTATCTTTCATTGTACAATTTCCCTTGCCGTAAATTCGGCCAAGCCTTGGACATCATTGTATTGGGTGTTCATTCCATTTGATTGTGCGTAACATGTGAATACAATCAGCGAATTTTCAAACATTGAACTGGTCTCACTTACCACCTGTCTGCTTGTAGGCAAAGGTGTATTTCGTAAATTATCTGGCTGTCTGGAATTCTCTCTCTCTCTCTCTCTCTCTCTCACTCACTCTCTCTCTCTCTCTCTCTCTCTCTCCCCCTCTTCATATTTTGACTCTACTCGCTCGGTTGCATTAAGAAAGGCGACGGCGATACCATTGGAACGATGAACATCGCTGTTATTGGGTGGCGCTCATTGAAGTAAGAGTTTTGTTACATCTAACTTCAGGAGTGCTGGAATCGACGCATGGCAATCTCCCCTGCCTTAGCATGTATCCCTATACCGGTATATTCTTTCTCCATTCATCTGTATTAGTAAATCGCTCATCCCGTGTGCCATGTGTGCCCGCGCTCCCTTTGAATGCTGAGTTCTCAAACCAGCGCTCTGGTGTGCACGTTTTCCGGGAAGTCCTTTTTGACCTGTCAAATGCCTACTGAAATCCCTGACAAGCGCTGACGATTGAATTCGCAACCTCGTCTGCATAGGTATGCCGTAATGTTCATTCATTGGGGTGACAGTGGCGCGGTATGTGAACTACTACTAGTACAACCAAGAGTAGACGCTTATAATTATACTCTTGTCTTGATGCAACTAGACAGCTCGAGCTAGTGCGGTTGCGAAAAGTCCATTTTCTCGGGAGCAAAATATTGTTCGTATCGGCTAAGACTTTCAAAAAAAGGTCTCTTTTGTACGCTCGAGTGGCTAAATTTGGCTGATTTGGGCTAATTTTTGCTTTGTGTTGGTTCAAGTTTTGATGCTCCCACCTGCAATTCTATCTCGCGCTGAAAGGATCTTCTCGTCGGGATCCGACGTGCAAGCTCTGAGTCTCTCATTTGACCATTACTCCACTTGCCCATACAAGGAGTGGCAACATTTGTCCATACCATGTAGCAAGTTTTCAACTAAGACCTAGGAGCGCTCGTACACTTGAGTTCCACGTATCGAAGTTCCTTACCTTGACCACGCAGCTAGGGAACGGAGAGAGCGTCCAATGGAAGACTGGCAAGAGAGATGCTGTCGCAGCACAAGCTACCCCTCATAAAAACCCTCTTGTCTTATTTCTGCGCCCAAGACGCGACGATGCTTTCAAAATGATTGTGAAATACAGTGTGTTGAGTCACGATACATGGGCAATCTGCGGGTAGCTAGCTGTTCCGACCTTGTGGAGTTTCACAACAATGCTTCCAAAACTCGAAGCCAGTCTGTTTCGGCATTACTTTCTCAACAAACCCTACCTCCCCCCACCCTCTCACACACACACTGATCACTCTCGCTATCGCAACGGATCCAAGTCATGCCTTGCGCAGATCGTTACACACCCGCCTCGCTTACTTCGACCTGACAGGCATGCTCGCCCGCTGAATTTCAATCACTCGTAAAGTCAAAGCGAGGTTTTGTCCAGTAAATCGGCCGAGAAGTCTGTAGGAACAGACCTAGTGTAATACATTGTACTTGAAGTAGATCATCTAACTACCACTAGTACTACTACTAGTGCTGGCAACTGAAATCCGACCCCTGAGCGGTGCGTTCACATTCTAGCGGCCTCTAGTTCGTAGTTTTACAATCCCGTGTTGGGTCTTTGCGATGTGAGCGCGCCACTCAGGGGTCGGATTTCATCTACCAGCACTGTACTTCAGAGTACTAGATGGGTGCAAGAAACTACATACTCAGTTCCACGAAGCGTAATTTGATAAGAGGAAGATTGGAGATTCCTACTATTGAACTATGGTAAATGCTGTAGCTGATAATGGCCAGCGTTGCGGATAATGATGGTCTGCACTTGGCCTATTTGTTGTCGATAATCATCTACTGAAGTTTACAAAACATGCAGCACGATTACCGGTACCCAGGCAATGGCAGTCATGAGATTCACGGTGAATAGAGCCTGGCTCAGAGAGTGGTCTGTGAGTGGCGACTGGCTTAGCACTACATCGTGCAAAGTCCAAGAATGCCACCTAATCAGAATTCGGCAATGCTAAGGAAAGCATAGAAGGCCAAACAATTATGATGATAGCGAAAAGGCTTTCAAAATAAAATTAAAAATATTAACCTTGGCACTTGGATCTTCAGTCTTTGTAAATTTATAGGAGCCTGTCTATTGTCTGGAAACAAGCGAGCAAAAACCTCTGCTCTCCTTTTGTGGACATATGAGAACAAGAGGTGTGTGTGTGTGTGTGTGTGTGTGTGTGTGTGTGTGTGTGTGTGTGTGTGTGTGTGTGTGTGTGTGTGTGTGTGTGTGTGTGTGTGTGTGTGTGTGTGTGTGTGTGTGTGTGTGTGTGTGTGTGTGTGTGTGTGTGTGTGTGTGTGTGTGTGGAGGGGGGGGGGGAGGGGGCGGGAGCTGAACGAGACGTACTGCTCATTGTGGGTGTGGGTGGCTCAGGACTTTGCTGCTTCTATTCACATACAAGCCGTAACATAAGGTGTCTGATTCCAGACGCATACTCGATTACGTCCTCCCACCTGCGCCTAAGCCATGCTTTCTTCTACACAAACCAAAGAGGAGAACAACAGCAGAGCATTGGTGTCATTGCACGACATTATGCTACGAACAGCTTTCTAAGTCAACATCCAGGTTTTTCGCACAGGTCAGTAATAATTATAACTTCCAGGGACCTTTGAGCTGGGCTGCTTTTCATAAAGAGAGCCTTTGGCACGAAATACTTGCATGGGTCAAAACTACCTGAATTCTCTGAGGTATTTACATGTATGTGCATAAGGGACGAGAGAATTTGGCTCACCTTATGCTGATGGGCCCATGGGATATTCTAAGAAAACAAATAGGAAGTAGAAAGACACCCATTAATATTCCAAAGACATTGGCTGATAATTGGCACAATCACAATTATCGGACACAGACACACAGCTAAAATGGGATGTATGATGCAATCAGGTTCCGGTTAGATATACCGTATTTTCCGGGGTGTAAGCCGCACCGGGGTATAAGCCGCACCCCCCTTTTTGAGGCAAAATATTGACTAAAAGTTGGCATTCGGAGTATAAGCCGCACCCACAAACCTAGATTTTTCACACTCATTGACAAATGGCCTTTCTACAAATTTATTATGGTTATGGAGCTAAATACCATGTTAGATCAGATTATGAAAAATAGAGTCCCCGTATACGCGTACCGTATGGTGTAGCCCACGCACTATAACTAGTAAAAGTGCCGGGATAGCAACACAGGCGCGAAGCTGAGTCGAATGACATGTCACATGACGTCAGCATGCATACTGATGTATGCTAAGCATTCATTCGCGCAAGCATATTCGGTGCATAAGCCGCAGGGGCGATTTTGGTCCGATTTTTAGCGAAAAAAAGTGCGGCTTATACCCCGGAAAATACGGTACACTATTGCTTGATGCTGTTGTTCTGAGATTTACCCAATCAGTTCCATAATCACCTTGCATGGTCATACTATCATCATGCACAGGGCCTATCATTCCAACTCCACATATGTACCTCATGCAGCTGCTTCGTATCAGCAGGAGAATCAGAACATGCAAGGATGTCATCTTACGGACATCATATCATACATGTACAGTCGGCCCTCTTTAACCCTTTGGAAATGCACTGATCACACGACGTCGGGAGATAGCCGCAATTGCAAGTATATTCGTTCCAATTTCCATCATAACGCTGGTTCTACTTCACCGATTTTGACGATCTTGGGCTCGTTGGAAAGCTCTTGGAACGAGGATAACAGCGAGCCCAAACTCATTCAGGAGAGCGATTGCTGTCTGCTACTGAATGCCAGGAACGCCAGCTGAATACCAAATCCAAACCGGGAATAGTCCTTGTCTCGCCATTTCACTCGTGCTAGCTCAAAATCATTCAAATTTTTTCTAACAGACTCACAAAAGCCGTGACAAAAAGCGCTGGGAGTGATGTCACACGCTGCGTGGGCAGGAAGAGGGAAAATCCCACTTTTGAACGAAATTTGCACTTCGCTGACGCATGAGAAATCGAGCGAACGTTCGAGCACTTGCCGCTCTGTTATACTAGCTTGTATCGACCCCGGAGTTTTTCGAGCCGACAGCTTAGATTCTCTGCTACCTCGTAGGTATTTCGATTGTTGAATTCGGTTGAGATTTGACTTAGTTGTGACTCGTTGAGTGCACTTGCACACATGACATTGGCATCGTTCGAATTCGAACGATCACCTCCAAAGGGTTAATCCGGCACTTTATAAACCAGCACCGTTTTTAAACAAGCACAATTTTCATCAGCCAAAATGTCCTCTTCATGCACATTGCAACAGTAGATCAAATTTGTTAATCCAGCACCCTCCCTAATCCAGCAGAATTTCTTTAGCACAAAATGGTGCCGGGTTATAAAGGGCCCACCGTACATGCTATCTCAATATCATCTACCCTTAGCAGCCACTTGGTATCACCAGCTTAAAGATCATGCAATTCAAGGATGACATCATAGTGACATCATGCACATGGTCTAGAGTTCCGCCATTGGCATCTACTTACCTGTACTTCTAGAGACTTCATGGCTTCATTGGGATCATGCCACCACCACAAGTGAACATTTGGTTCACAATCTTTGAAGATTTCCCTTGCTGCCGCAACGTTTTCTCGATCTCGTTCCTTGCTGTATCCCATGAAGCAGAGGATGACGACGTCGAATGCTGCATGTGTGTGTGGGCAGAGTGGATGAGATTACAGGCATGGTATTACCGCTCATGGTTTCGCTTCTTCCATTCTCCTGGGTGGCTACCAACAGCTAGTGCATGGCGGAGTATGTAGTGGGATGTGTGTGTGTCCAAAAAAGAGTGAATAAGGAAGAAGAAAAAGAAAAAAATAACGATTCACTGGCCAGAAAACGCCACTTCAATCAGCTGTGTGGTGTAGATGAGGCTAAAATTGTGGCGGTCAATTCATCACCACGCAATGTCTAGCATAGCTTGTTCGCTGTCATGGCTTCAGCGATGGGCAGGTGTAAGCATAAGTAAGTTGATAAGTCTATAGAACACAGTATCCCGGGCGTGACATCCGAGCAACTGTCTTCGTTTCTACTGCTACTGCTGATCAGATGTGTGGCAACTTCCTCCCATGTGAGGTTAGCAGCCCAAAGCCCAGACTGCATGTACATTGCCAAGTCCAAAATTGGACGATGGCTCTTTTGTGATAGACAGCCCCCCCCCCCCCGCCCTCCCCCATGTTGAACACAGTTTGGTTTACCTGTGAGTGTGTTGTGGTACTTCGAGAACGTCTCAACGCTCTGGTCGCTCCACTCCAATAGGACAGCAACTTTGCGGGTGCCTTCTTGCATGCTGTTTAGCTTTTCCTCTACCAGATTCTCGGTGAGCGTATTCCTCCTTGTGATGGGAAGGCGGCTGGCCTGTTCACTTCCACCGTATGGCAACTGCTCAATAACTAGGTTAGCCTAGTTTGACAGCACATTGAGAGCACACAGAAGGCAGCCATGAAGCATAAGGCATCTCAGGTGTGTCCGAAGCCCGGCCATTCAATGTATTGCGTAGCGCATGGCGCACGTGGGCGAAAGTCTCTAGCTGGAGTTCGGGTGATTATATAGGGAGAGTAAACAGTACCCCCGTGGGGGGGGGGGGGGGGGGGAGGGAGAGTAAACAATACTCTCCATGAAACAAGAGGGAGGGGGGAGGGGAGGGGGAATAAAGGGTCACAGCATAAATATAATTGCCATGTATCCAGGCAAATGCTGCAAGATACATAGCTGGAATACAACACGATAGTCTTTCCACATACCATGGCACTCTCTTCTTGGTTATGTACGATACAGAATTCCAGATTCGGAGCAGGCTTGGCATGCTTATTGAGCTTTTTCCCCCCATCCAGGTAGAGGATTGGCTTGCGCTGGATGTCCATGAACTTTGAGATCTCAACCAGCTGCTTGCTGGATACTGTATTCCACCAGCTGAGCACAAGGCCCGGGCCCAGTGCATCAAAAAAGGCTCGTGGCAAGGAGTTCTCCAGTCTGTCTTGAATACCTACAGAGCAGACCCTGGCACCGAGCCTCTTGCTTGCCTCGTCGCGACACACGATCATGACTGAACAGCATATATGTGCATCCACACATGCAAACATGCACACACACACACACACACACACACACACACACACACACACACACACATACACACACGCACACACACACACACACACACACACACACACACACACACACACACACGCACACACGCACGCACACTCACACATGCACGCACGCACACACACACAAACACACACACACACACATATGCACACAAAAACGAATACCCAGATGGACACGCATACACACGCACACACACACAAACGAATATCCAGATGGACACACCGAAAACGCCCGTGCAGATAATTATGAGTACATGCATGCACACACACGCACCTTGTGCACAGCGCACATACACATAACGAATTCAAGCACATGATATGCATGTCTGCCAAACCAGTACCACGACCATTTGACCAGGATATTGTAGGAAATGGACTCGGATGGAGAGCCAAGGAGTAGTTGTAGTTCCTTGGTCCTTTAATTTTTTATATTTTAAGGAATATTAGATCCATAGTACTCCTTAGACTTGACACATTGCAAATTTCTAACTGAAGGTAAAACAACATTGCACTTGCTACAGTCGTCGATTTACCCCCCCCCCCCTGCCCCCCCCCCCCCCGCAACAAGTAAGAACTCACGCTTTCTTGTGCCATCTCGTAGTTTGTCATACACTGGCTTCAAGGTGTTTGACTGCTGCTCTATCTCGTGAGTAACAGCGAGGCGATTAGAGTCGTCCATGCTAAGGACACCTATAACGTGCACCCCGCTTTCTCTGTTGTGCTCCTCGAGGCAGCGTTGAACCTCCTGGGCATTTGTACCAATGCCCTGAACCGATAAGATGCCATCCAGTCTCTTCCATTCCACACGGATATCGTGCTCTTTGGCCATTAATTCCATCATCTGTTCAATTGTTGTCCATGGCTGCGACGAACACAATGCAGAAGAAGACATATTTATAAATGCCTCTTCTTTCCTCTTTCGGGCCTGGTTTAAATATGGCTTTGTATTTATGTGTTTTGTCATAACATAAATAATAAAGTTAGCTATCAGGTTCGGAATCATTTTCTCTGTGCTGCGATGATAAGTTTGCAACGAACGAAACAGTTCTGTTTCAGGCGTGTCGCACCAACTTTGGAGGTAGGGCAGCCATGGAAGGGGGGTCCGGGGGTCCTCCCCGGGAAAAAATTCAAAAATTGAAGCCAATTGCAATCATTCCCAGGCATTTGGTGCCATTTCAGTGTACATGGACTTTTGATTCTGCAACAAACCACGATCGGGGACAAGGATTTGCCACGTTTGCGCTGAGATCATCGCGCTTTGTTGCAGTGTGTTCAAAAAACACAAAAAAAACGGCCGAAAAAGTGGGGCGGCCATGGCCGCCCCGGCCGGTGCGGTTCCGACGCCCTTGTGTTTGCAGATTGAGTAAATGCCCCTTATAAAGAGGTCAACCTTCAATCTTGATTAGAAGATGGAAGAGTGAAGTTTCATAAGGGTGTATAAAAGTGTCAGCTTTGAAGTTTGCGTTCAATAACAAAAGAAGAAAGTGAACATTAAATGATCAACGCGTTGAAAATAATTGTCTTCTCACCGCCTTTTAATAAATAAATAAATTGTCTTAAAAAACCTCTGTATGTAAGGATGGCCGCAAATTAGTTATGTCACAGCATTCTCTTTTTTCCAGATTATCAGCTACGAAAATAATGGTATGTTACATCATGGTATGTTACATAAAAAAAATGAAATATTTAATACTAGCTATGAAAAGTGTGAATACACCAGACATCACCACGGAACGTGACAACTTGGTAGAGGTTCAAGCTTGGAAATTGGGTTCTGAAAACACACAATTCCAAACTTCGAACGTTTTGTCATGTTGCGTGGTGATGTTTGTTGTATTCTTACTGTTCATAGCTACCATTATTATTAAACAACTATCTCAACGTAGATGAAATGAAATTCTATTTAGTCATTAGGACATCACTCAGAAACCTCTCCCTCTCTCTCTCTCTTCTTTTCGCCTGTCTTGTGTCAAAGTCTGTTGTGAATACAACCATAAGTTCCTGCAGATTCATAAAGCACAGCCTGCCTGACACCAGTCGGAACATTTTCTTGAAGTTCTGCAGCCAATATGGAGGTAATCCAACTAAAGTAGTCCCTATATGTACCGGCACCAATTGTGCTACAGAAGTTCTGCTGGATAAGGGAGGGTGCTGGATAGAAAATTTCATTTACTTCCACAATGCGCATGAAGAGGACATTTTGGTTCTAGAAAATTACCGCTGTCCTATAGATAGACGCAGCCGACTCGTAAAGAGCTGGATTAATGAGTGACTGGACTAAGTCTTTCTCCGTAAACAAAACTTCATGATTTTGAATGGATACCGCATTTCCCCGGATATAAGTTGTGGTAGTAGATACTATGTAGGTGTCACCTTTAGCACCCTGGTGTTAGTTATGTCACAATATGTACCTCGCACCTATTTACCTTATATTCGGTCTCTCTAGTATGTAACAGCAGTTCAGTCTTCAGGACAACATTGGCGCAGTGAACAAGCAGGACTCAAGATGGCAAGTTCTCTCGGCAGAGCCCCAAGTTCCTTTCAAGTCTCTGAGGACACGAACCAAGCTGAGGAATTCGCCTTGTGGTTGGAAGACTTCGAAGCCTACCTTGACCTACAGAAGATCGACGCAGCCGCGCAGAAGAGGAAACTGCTGCTGAATATTGGCGGAATCGACCTCCGGCGGATCACCAAAGGCTTGGTTGTGACCACAGCTGAGGCAGAAGGGGATGTCCCACCTGACACGTACACTCCTCTGAAAACGGCCTTGGAGAAGTATTTCAAGCCTTCCATCAACCTGACAGCAGAACGGCACAGGTTTAGAGGTCGGAAGCAGAGGAATGGGGAGACTGTGACAGCCTATTTGTCAGCCCTTCGGGCTATGGCACAACAATGCAGCTTCGACAGCACCGATGTGGACACAATCGTGAATGGAGTCATCAGAGACCAGTTCATTGAAGGACTGCAGTCATCAGCTATAAGACGAGAACTCCTAGCGACCGCAGATCTGACGCTAACTGCGGCATCGGCAAAGGCAGTAGGAATGGAAGCATCTATACTGGACTCGCTACTGTACGAGCAGCCAGTAGCACCGACTCCGCAGCCGCTATCATCATCATCGACACCAATGGTAAACAGAGTCATGTCAGGAGAGGAGTCCAGGAAAGTGGCAGGAGCCTCGGCACAACCTCCTCGACATAAAAGGCGGAAAGGAGCGTGCAAGTATTGTGGGGGAGAACATACCCCGGGAAGATCCTTTTGCCCGGCAGGCCGGACTAGATGCCGGCACTGTGGGATAGTGGGCCACTTTCCTCAGGTCTGCCTCCGGAAAGACAGACTCAGCAATAAAATAGAGGAAGATACATTGGTGGTCGAAGACGAATTCGAAGAGGCTTATACCATGGAGCCTGCGGCAACGCTACGCGCAGCTCATGATCCCCGCTATTGGGTCGATGTGCGGGTTGATGGTAAGATAGTACACGGTCTGTTAGACACGGGTGCCACACGGACAATAATCCAGCTGTCATCCAGCTCACAGCCGTACACAACTTTCACAACGGAGGAAGGTTTGTTCCGATTCAAGCGGTTACCCTTCGGCATCTCATGCGCCCCGGAAATCTTCCAAAGGGTCATGTCTGACCTGCTCGCTGGTATCCCAGGAGTCTTCGTGTACGTAGACGATGTACTGGTCACCGGTGACAGCATCAAGCAACACGATGAACGACTGCAGCGAGTCCTAGAGCGACTACAAGCGGCACAGCTGAAATTGAACAACGACAAATGTCAGTGGAAGCAAAGTGAGGTTAGATACCTTGGCAGCATACTGAACGCCCAGGGCGTCAATCCTGATCCAGACAAAGTGAAGGCAATCCTAGACATGCCTCTGCCAGAATCTCAGTCGGATGTACGGCGATTCCTTGGTATGCTAACATACCTCGGAAAATTCATCCCTGGATTAGCGGACGCAACGGCACCGGTCAGGACATTGGCAAAACGCGAGCCATTCGTCGCAGACAACTCGCTCTGGATGGAGTTCAACACACTCAAAGAGGAGGCCGCGTCTAGATTGTTACGTCTGTCGTTCTTCGACGTCACGCCAACCAGGGAGACGGCCATTAGTGTGGATGCATCTCCATGTGGCCTGGGAGCTATACTGTGGCAGAAGGACAATCATGGCCACTTTCAACCCGTGTCATGCGCTAGCAGAGCTCTCAAGGATCCCGAGACACGGTATTCGCAGCTCGAGAGAGAGATGCTGGCTGTGGTTTTCGGCTTGGTAAAATTCCGCCAATTCGTACTGGGGCGACAAGTGATCGTATTTACTGACCACAAGCCCCTGGTGGCAATCGTAAAGAAGGAATTCGATCAGGTGCCAGCCCGAGTGCAGCGATGGCTGCTGGCAATCCTCCCATACGACTTTCAGTTGACCTATACGCCGGGAACGTCAATGATTTGTACTGACGCGCTATCGAGAGCCTCCTCCCAAGCAGTTGAAGCCAGTCCGGCAGAGGCCAGGTCAATGAAGGAGTATGTTGGCTTAATCCTGGGGGAAGCTCCAATCTCTTGCGAAGATGTCCGGCTAGCCACAGACACTGATGGTCAGCTAAGTCGAGTCAGGAACAGAGTGTTACAAGGCAAGTGGAATACATGCGACGGCAGCAACGAGGTATACTTTCGAATAAGGGACTCGTTGTCAGTGGTTGATGATATCGTCATGCATAACAATCGCATCGTCATACCCGGTACCTTGTATGACCAAGTCCTCCGTATCGCACACGAAGGCCATCCAGGACTCGACACGTTTCTGGACACGTTGTGACAAAGTGTATGGTGGCCGTCCATGAGCAAAGATGCCTCAGAATTCGCTAGGACATGCTCGACATGCTGGAAGAGGCAGCGGAATCCTCCACAACCCCTCCAACCGTCAGAAATCCTACCAGTCTGGTATCGGGTGGCGGTGGACCTCGTGGAGATCGAGGATCATCACTTCTTGTCGGTCATCGACTACGGATCCCGATATCCCGAGTTGCTCTTGCTATCCAGCACCACGTCGAGAGTCATAATACAAGCATTGTCGGAAGTATTCGCAAGACATGGTCTACCGGTGGAGCTAGTTAGCGACAATGGGCCACAGCTGGTGTCGGACGAAACAGAAACTTTTCTCCGGAAAGCAGGAGTCAAGCATATCAAGTCGAGCCCGCGGTATCCATGCTCCAACGGAATGGTGGAGAGATTCCATGGCGTCGTGCGCAGGCGCTTGAGTGGGATGCCTTCATCACTACCTCTGAGACAGCGACTCCAGCAAGCGCTATTCGGCATTCGTACATCCGTGAATCGGATGATTGGGACATCACCAGGAGAAGCATTCTTTGGACGGGCCCTTCGAGGACGATTGCCGAATCTAGCTAACGGTCAAATCATCAACCGGGAGAAGCAAATTGACCAAAAAATGCGAATGGCCCATCAACACGAACAGAAGAGAGGCGTGCGGGAGCTCCCTGCTCTCGAGCCAGGCAGTAAAGTGGTACTGCAAGACGGATATAGTCAACCGGCCAAGGAATGGAGTGTCGTACGACAGGAAGGCCGTCAAGTGGTGGTGGAAGACGGTGTGCGCACGGCCATAAGAAACCGCCGGCAAGTCAGGGAGACTATCCCACCATCAGCAACTGAGGCGACCACCGAGCGGAGCCGTAGCCCTGGGTCTGACAAAGATGCTGCAGGCACAACGGAAGAAGAAGCCCGAGCCGACAACAACCAGCCACAGCTGCCTCGACGTTCTAGCAGAGTGAGCATGCCTGTGGAGCGGCTGGGATACGATTGAAACAATTTTACTATAATAGCATGGCATCCTTAGTAGCCGGAGTAGTGACAATAGCAGCATTCATTCTATCAAAGTTATGAGCAAGAATAGACAGCAGTAATATCCTCTCGTTGCTAGAGTGTTTGGGTTGATCATTCTTTTCAACTTCTTGTTGCTAAAGTGTTGGGTTAATCATTCGATTCAGCAAGATATATGATCATTCGAAATTGATTTACTCGGTTGTTTTATTAATATATTGCGTTGCCCATTTCATTCGGTTGCTAGCTTTTTACTAAAGCATTGGAGTAATGTGGTAGTAGATACTATGTAGGTGTCACCTTTAGTACCCTGGTGTTAGTTATGTCACAATATGTACCTCGCACCTATTTACCTTATATTCGGTCTCTCTAGTATGTAACAGCAGTTCAGTCTCCAGGACAACATAAGTTGCACCTTTTTACACACAAATCAAGGGTAGAAAAGGGGTGCGACTTAAAAATCGAGCTTGGCTTACTACTGAAGTCACGTACGTGTCAAACGATATTGCTCAAACCTAAAAATGAGATGCGACTTATAATCGAGTGTGACTGATAATCAGGGAAATACGGTAATCAGTTTTGGTAAATTGAGCTCTGAGGAATCGAGTGATGATGAATCCGAGTGACCCTCAAACAGTGCCAATTCATTTTGTATAACAGTGTACATACTTCAAAAGTACATCCCGAGCACTCTTTGGACTGAAGTGATTATGTTCCTCCTCCCCTGATTTTTTGAGCCAAGTTACTTCTAAGTTACTCCTTAGAATGTTAATAAAAAAAGTCACAAAGGTTTTTTTTCAGAGACTGTGTACTGATTTGATGAGAATAATTTTCTATTGGCCTATCTTTGACAATTGTAGCAGCAGACTCACCGAATTCTCTTCACAGTGCCTCCAGGCCGAGACGAAGTTCACGTGAAGCACTACAATCTTGTGTGCCCGTGTAGCATGAATGGCCGGGTCACTTGCTCGGCTCAGCGCTTCTCCATGGCTAGAGGCTGTAGCAGCAGCTGCTCCTGACGCTGGTGGAGAGAAGGCATACTGGCAGAATGTGTTTCTCACGCCACAGGGAATGTTAACTTCATCCGCATCATGGCGCTCGTCATCTCGCTTCTGTTCTTGATTTGCCTCCATGGCCATCACAGAGCTTTGTTCAATGTTACTGATCTAGGAGTTACAGGGATAAGGATAGGTGCGTAGCCTCAGAATCTCTTTTATAATTCTGAAATTTAATTAAATTTTCCTTCCCCTCATTGGACATTTCCTAACCTGAGCCTTCCAAGTAGGAAGGTTGCGGGCTTTCGCCTCGTAGAAGTGTTGGAGCTAGGTCTTTGAATATCTCAGAAATGAATCCCTGACATGTTTGGGCCATGTTGTTGCACTGGCTGACTGGCTGACTGTTCATGATCTTGATACTTTGGTGGACAGTTAGTCAAGAGGTGTAACGTTTTGTCCTGCCTTTTTTTTATCCATCGTTACATTGGCTCATCATCCGAGTGCACAACCTTCGCTTAAGAATTTTTCCGCTTTCCATTTCCTCAAACAGTCAAACTTATATGGATGTTAAAAGAAGGATATTATCTTGTGTAGTTTTCGAATGACTGAAATATTTCAAAAACAATCTGATGTGTATGTACTACTGTGTAGTGTGTACAGTGTGTACAGTGTGTACACACATACAATCTAATGTCTACCAGAAGGTATGTCAATACCAGTCACTGGAAACAAAAAATTGTCACCTTACATCAACTTCGGATAGCACCACTCCGGCAGTTTCTCTTAGCTCCACCAGCGGGTGACTGGTTGTTGTAGGAGACTCGGCGCAATCCGCCGCAATGGCGTGTGGCAGGTACCGGCCCAACGAGCGCTCAGGTCGCGCTCCCATATCATAATGTGCTGCCCTGCGACCGTTCAGGCGGCTGAAATTCATACCCATGCTACCAGAATATGTGTAGGCAATGACTCTAAAATGCCCAAACGGAGTTCCAACATCAACAGGATGTTTTTGACCCGTAGAACTAGATACTTTCACGAGTCGTGCTAGCGTTCTGGAGGCAGTGAGGACGCCCGGCACACGGTCAAAATGCTTCCTGGACATGGATTTCACAGTTCACGAAGGGGCTTACCTGGCTGCTCGGTCCAGTCCTAGTGCGACGTGGCCGCATTTCAGTTTCCTGTCGAAAGTTAGATTGATACCACTAGCAATTTTAGCTCAGCGCGGCGCAGTGACGACATGCGTTGCGTAATGCACTGGTCGCCGGTACCACAGTACCCAAGCACGGGGAAACCCCCTTTCAGACTACTGCACACACTCCGTGTGCACAAGATCATACACAAGACTTCGAATAAGGACGATAAGCTTATACTTACACTTACCGTGAAGTACTATTAGATGCTCCCAAACGCAGGTGCACCTCGCACTTCCAACTGACAGTGACCACGTGACACTGGACTGCAAGACACATAACTACAAACGGCAAAGGTCTGAAGAAAAATTTGACTGTCACCACCAGGACTCGAACCATGGATCCTCGATCCTCGCTTTTTTTGTTTTCTGATGTTAGTAAATCGCCTTTGGCTTTGGCGTGAAACTCGTACTCTACTAGTACTAGCACTAGCAAGAGTCTGCATAGACAGTTGATTATGTACTCTGCCTACATGACTTGTACTACTAGTATTGAACACTAGTAGTACATGTTGCGCTAGCGTTACTGGCCAGCCCACAAGACAGTACCCAACTCACGCCCTGGCCTGACGATCAGGCATCGTGTGCAGTAGACAGGTAGCTAGGTAGCTAGATCTCTGTGCCGCTCCATATTTCCCAATGCCCATTCAAACTATTTTCAGACTCTCGGAAAGTTTCGATATTGTTTTGATGTCCAGGAGATCTCTGTTTTCCTGGTCGACACACATTTTCTGCCAGTGCTACCGAGAGAGCACCGATTAATACGCGACTAGACTGTCTTTGCCTTTCGCATCGCGGATACTCGGATCATCAAACCCAACACAAAGTCCTGCATGGCCCGTACGGTCATGACAGTACGGCCATCAGCATGATGTAATGTAATGGCGTCACTTCGCGGCGCGCGGCCGATAGCTAAGCGTTCATACACACGGCAGCAACGCAAGATCTAGAAACTGGGAGGATGGAGCTGCTCACTCGGCGTGCTATCTCAGCTTTCCACTCAGGATACGAAGGAACTGAAGTTCATCATTGCCTTTGGTGGAGTGTGTGACTGTGGAGTTGCATGCATCACCAGTTTTCTATGTCCGAGAAATAGTAAACACTATTGTCCTGTATTCAAACCCGGTATCCTTCTTCTAGTGACGGTAGCTGAGTTCACTCTTACCATCCGGCTGCACGCAGCAGGAAACGTCCTCAGCTCACACACCGTTCCTCAGCAAACAACTCCAGCGGACTGACTGCATTATCGAAAGTAAGCACGTTATAGAAAGTGAGTAGAAAGGATTGCATTGAGTGCGATGGGCGTGGAGAAGTGTTCAAGTCGGAACAAGCCACTATTACAGATAGCTCTGTACGGACTAGCTCTTGGTTGCTGCGGCAGTGTGGGGCCCGATCCAAACATTGTATCGCAAGGAAATGTTGAGGATGCATTCGGATGCTTCAGGAAATCAGGGAGCACGATAAGCATGTGCAAAAATTGGGGAGCGAAAAGAACGGGGGAGTCCGGGGCAGGCGTGAAGACAGAAATTCAAGCATCAAAACGCAATCCAGTTTGAGGAGACGGCTGATGCATGGGCTACTGCAGTATTCCAGCAACACCATGATTGTGTCACCAGAGATCACTCTAAACACTGCTTGCCGTGTGGTTAACAGGGCATACATTTATTTGTATATAAAGACCAAAGATTACTTGTACTATCTTTCCACTCTCAGTGTACGCGGAACGCCGAGGTGAGCGCTATGACGTCATCGCCGTGACGATGTGCCAGACTCTGAAAGGAGATCGGAGAGAGGAGGTAGGGTCTAAAGAGAGGATTTCACCTGTTGAACCTGTCGGGTATACCCAGGGCAGGGACATAAAATGCTACTATGTCTATCACCTGGCTCAAAGTCAATTTCAAGAACACTAAACAGTAAACACTAACTAAAAAGCAAAATTTATTATTTATTATTATTATTATTATTTTGCTTGTTCGCGTTGGCATCAACCTGCATAAAGCAGGTATATAGCCTTCGCTTAAGCTGCCATAAAAAAGAAAGCTCATCCTAAGCGAGAGGGCTAGAGGGAAATATAACGATAACGAGATACAGAATACAAAGAAATCCAATGAGTTCAACGTACAATTCAAAACAAGAAAGAAAGGGAAGAAAAACAGAGCCGAATCTACCGATTGATCCATCAATCGACAAAGGGGACTAATCCGTTAGTGTTGCAAAGTAGAAGCTGATTATAGTTGCAGATCTCCAGGCCAGGGCCAGCATATTGCCGATTCTGGATAGGTCTCCGCAGCATTTGATGTGGTAATTATCATAATGTTTGATAAAATTGTTAGAGTATCTAGTATCTAGAGTACCGAGTCTCTAGTATCTAGAGTATCTAGTGTAATTGTATCCGTTATTATTGTTAAGGGTATCTAGTGTAATTGTATCCGTTATTATTGTTAAGGGTATCTAGTGTAATTGTATAACTTCAGCCATTACACACAGCACACATTAGATCCTTCCACTTTCGACGATCCTGGGCGAGCTGCCTCAGTGCAACTAGATCCTCGTGTGATGTGAGGGAGTTTGTGGATCTGGAATTTTTCAGGTCGTTGTTGATGGATCGCGGGAGTGTTGTTCTCGGGCGGCCTCGGAACCCTGAGCTTCCTGGCTGAAAGTATGCCGACATAGCCTGCTGGACCGGGGATGAGGTGTCTAGTCGAAGCATGTGGCCAAACATTCTCCACCTAGCAGACTGGATGATTCTGCTGAGTGGCTTGGAGCCAGTGCGCTTGTACAGTGCTTCATTGCGTATTATACGGGGATATTTGACCCCTATGACTGCTCGTAACTGCTGGCGGTGGAACGAGTCAAGTTTCTTTTCTTGAGTCTCTGTCAGGCTCCATGTGCCGCAGTTATAAAGAAGTATTGGGAGAATAAAGCTGCCGTATAACCTAATCCGAAGGGGTTCACGGGCATGGTTACCTCTTAGCCATATCACCCACAGCTGATGTAAGGCGCATGTTGCTAGACGTTTTCTCCGACTGATATCTTCCTCCACTCCAAGCATCGATCCTAGTTTGACCGTGTTCCGCCATCGCTCGTCTACTCTGTCCTTTTCTCTTTTAATTGTAGTATATTCGGTTTTGGCTTCATTCATTTTTAGATTGTATTCCGCTAACGAGGATGATAGTATGGGTTGATTGTCATGCAAATATTGTAGGCTGGTGCTGATGAAGTCTACGTCATCCGCATACGCTGTTTCATTGGGCAATTGAAGCTGAATATCCAATGCTGGTCGCGGTGAGAGTCGCTCTCGAATCAACCTCAATGCAGCCTCGAGGTAGACAGTAAACAGGACTGGCGATAGAGAATCACCTTGTGGGGTTCCATTGTGTGTGACTAATGGTTGGCTGAGAATGTTATTCAGCTTTACTTTTATTGTGGTGTCTGTCAGAAGGCACTGGATGATGTGCAGCTCATCATGATCAATGACTGTTGACAGTATATCGATCAGCCTGACCCTTGATATAGTGTCAAATGCCTTTGACATATCAATGCCTAAGATTGAGATCTCCGACGCAACACGCTGGCATCTTGCTGATAACCACCGATAGCTATATACCACGTCTCCAGTACTTCTCCCTGACCGGAACCCGCTCTGGTTCAGTGACAAGTACCCGTTGATAGCTGGCTTGATCCGCGTCAGGATGACCAATGAAAGAAGTTTACGTAGGGTGTTCAACAGGGTAACTGGCCTTACATTTCCAGGAGGACCTCTTTTCTTTCCCGGCTTTGGTATCGGGATCAGTAGCCCATCGCCTAGCTTGAGTGATTTGTCTTTGGCATAATTGTTGAATGTAGTGGCAATGTTCGAGAACAGTGCTGGTGTTCCATATTTGATAAGTTCAGCAGGTATCCCATCTGGTCCCGAAGCTCGGCCATTATTCAAGCGCTTAGCTGCGGCATGTACCTCTGGCTGCTTTATAGGGTTTTTAAGGTCTTCCTCTGTCCGTAAGAGCCTAGATGACTCCAGAGCAGGATCACAGAATATAGCACGGAAGTGTTGCCTTAATGCTTCGACTGATTCACTAGGTTGTGCAATGAGTTTGCCATCAGAGTCTTCAACCACAACTGGTGACTGCTGCTGTCGGCGCAGTAGTCGTGTTGCTTTGAACATTTTCGCGTCGTCTTTCATTTGGTCTATTTCAGCTACACGTTCGTCCAGTCGAGTCGATGCTAACTTGAGGCATTCCCGGCGAATTTGGTGTGCTAGCCTGTTGCGTCGCGTCTTCATTTCTTTTACCTTCGTTCCATCTCTGCACACCGTAATGTCGAGACGCAGTTTGCGTTTCTCTGCTGCTAGCTTTTCAATTTCCCCGCTGAAGCCATTTCTATGCGTCTTGTTTGTTTTAGGGACGCGGCCCACCGATGTGTTTGCTGCCTCACTCATAGCGTTCACAATATACTGCAGATGTTGCTCCGCATTGACACCTTCCTGCTCTCTGCCGAGGTCCTGTAGATGTTCGTTGATAGCCTCTCTGTACTTTGCTTTCTTGGTCGGGTCACTAAATTCGGATATATTGAATTTTGCGTTGCTGGATATGGCTACTGGCGGCCTCTTGAGCTTCTTGTACAACTTAGTCAGGTTGAGGTTTGCCAGCACAAGACGGTGATCGCTTTCTAAGCTTGTCCCGGCGTATGATCTGGCATCCGTCACCACAAACCTTTCACTGTGACGGCAAAGGATATAATCTATTTGGTTGTAAATGGGTAAAGGTGGACCTCCACTAGGGTTGTGGCGCCAGCCTGTCCATGTGGTGATATGTTCTGCACGGTGCTGAAACGCCGTGTTACAGGCAAATAGGTAATTGCTGGACGCGAAATCAGCCAAAGTCTGGCCGCTGTAGTTGCGATGGCCCCTTGAGTGTGAACCAGCATAGGATACGGAGTGGCAGTCACTGGGTGGTCGTTTCCCAAGTTTTGCGT